TCTTGCCATAGATTTTCAAGCAGATTTAAGTCAATTTAGGAACATTCACTGTCTTCTTGGTAAGCAACTCCAGTGTAGATGTGGCCTTGTGTGTTAGGTTATTGTCCTGCTGAAAGGTGAATTAATCTCCCAGTGTCTAGTGGAAAGCAGACTGAACCTGGTTTTCCTGTAGAATTTTGCCTGTGCTTAGCTCCATTCTGTTTCTTTTTTTATCCTGAAAAACTCCCCAGTCCTTAACGATTACAATCATACCCATAACATGATGCAGCCTCCACTATGCTTGAAAATATGGAGAGTGGTACTCAATAATTTGCTGTATTGGATTTGTGCAAACATAACACTTTGTATTCAGGACAAAATGTTAATTACTTAGCCACATTCTTTGCAGCATTACTTTAGTGCCTTGTTGCAAACAGGATGCATGTTTTGGAGTATTTGTATTCTGTACAGGCTTACTTATTTTAACTCTGTCAATTAGGTTAATATTGTGGAGTAACTACAATTTTGTTGATCCATCCTCAGTTTTCTCATATCACAGCCATTAAACTCTGTAACTGTTTTAAAGTCACCATTGGCCTCATGGTGAAATCCCTGAGCGGTTTTCTTCCTCTCCAGCAACTGAGTTAGGACGGACACCTGTGTCTTTGTAGAGACTGGGTGTATTGATACACCATCCAAAGTGTAATTAATAACTTTATCACGTTCAAAGGGATATTCAATGTCTGCTTTTTTTTACCCATCTACCAGTGGGTTCCCTTCTTTGCGAGGCATTGTAAAACCTCCCTGGTCTTTGTGTTTTTTTATACTCCAAAAAATCTCAATTGAATCCATTTTAAATTCAGTCTGTAACACAAAATGTTTTGGAAAAGTGTAAATACTTTCTGAAGCCACTGTGAGTGTAGATATATACCTGTGTGAAAGAGAGGGAGAGTGACAAAAGTATGCAAATGTATGAAAATGTATCGCTCTGGATAAGAGCGTCTGCTAAATGACTAAAATTTAGATGTAAAAGAGCGACGTCGTGGAAAGCTTGTGCTGTCAGCCACTATTCAGTCCCAGACAGTCCCTAACTCAGCTGATAGATTGATTGTCTACACTACATTCTTGTTGATTCAGAAATGCATAGAGGTGAGTTCAAACAGCCAAGCCTACAGGAATTGCTGCTGGGTTCTGTACCTACCTTGTCAGCAAGCAATTATGGTTGTCGGAACAGCCAAGATGGCTTGTGTCAGATAAGGATTGTAATCTGTTATGATCAAATCAAATTGTATTTGTCACATGCTTCATTGACAACAGGTGTAGACTAACTTGTTAACTACTTACGGGTCCTTTTCCAACAATGCAGAGTTAAATATAAGATACAAATAATAATTGAAATAGTGACACGAGGAATAAATACACAGTGAATAACAAATAGAAAATGAGTAGAAAATAACATGGCTATATACATTAAGTACCAGGATTGAGTCGATGTGTAGTGGTAATTGAAGTAGCTATGTACTGTACAGGTAGGGGAATGTTGTGAAGCTGGATGCCAATGAATGTTACCCATCTGGGTTGAGTCCCCTATGGTCAGACCAGTGTGCAGAGACCGTATCAGGACGCAGGGAGCTGTGTCCCAAATGGCACCCTATTCCCTTTTTAGTGTGCTACTTTTGAACAGAGCCCTACAGGCCCAAAAGTAGTGCACTATAAAGGGAATAGGGTGCCATTTGGGATGCAGACGGCCTTTGGCAGCCAGGGGAAATGGGACAGTCAGGTGTTACATAATTCTACCGTTATTCAATGTGGCCTGAAAAGAGGGAGTGAAGGGGGTGGGGGAGAGAGAGAGGGGGGGAGGGAGAGCGAGGAAGGGAGATGGCCCCTGATGACTGTAGTGATCTGATCTGCTTTCCCTTGCTTATCCGGTTGAGTGTGAGAGAGACAGGATTAGTGTGTGTGTGTGTGTGTTGACTGTACAAGCTAAGGGGAAATGGGGGGAAATTGTTGTGCTCCTCTACTTAGCGGAAGCTACCGGCTAGGGATACAAAGGCTAAGTTACACAACCAGAGGTCATTAATGTCTCCTACACAAATCACTCGATAAACCTGCCATACAGTTTTATGCTGGGTTTTTTTTTATGCGGTTGGCCCTGACCTGCATTTTAAATGTGTATTAAAGGAGGACAATAGAATGGACCGAGCTTGAGGTGGCTGAGAGAACCTGTAGAGTGAAGGAAGGGGATGACGTAATGCAGTAAGGCACGTGTGTCAAACACAAGGCCCCCTGGACACATTTCTATCTGGCCCGCACATTGATTTGCGTTGTCAATTCATTTTGGCCCGCTTCCATATAGCCTGCAATGCGCTGCACTACAAGTCACAGCAAGCACTGCCAACGTGCTGCACACCAAACGGCAGTGCTTTGCCACATACACACCCCTCCTCCCAGACTCTCACACACACACCCACACCCCTCCTCCCAGACCCACACACCCACACCCCTCCTCCCAGACCCACCCACGAGCCAGCCAGTGTACTGTATCATATCACCACTAATGGCACTGACCGAATCTTCTACTGGACCCAAAGTTTAAACTTGTTGTAGACTAAATGTCCATGGCAAGTTTCTGTTCCAAGGAGTCATTGCTGTAGCCTACAGAAAATGTCATCTTGGTTGTCAAAAAGTTATGAGATAATAGATTCACACGCGGGTATAAATTACTACTAAAGGACTATAGGACACACAAGTGAGTATAAATGAGTCGACAGTTGAGTCGTCTACTTTATGAAATGACAGCCTGATGCACTGGCATTGTCAATTCAACCTCAATTGCGCTGCGATCATGTGTCTCGTTTACTGTTTGCAGCGGAGGGAAAGTGTACAGACACATGCCACATTCCTAGCTAGGCTACTAAAATGTTGCAGTCTGGCTTCGGTTTTTAAAGCTTGACAATGAATAACCAAAAAACTAAACCTGCAACAAAACACCATGCAAAGGAGAAACATGTAGGCCTATTACAGCAACATTTGATCAGTATCCTAGGCTGGCTACTCAACTATAATACATTTTGAGTATGCCATTCTGCATTCAACCGCACCGGTGATCCATGCAGTGCAAAAAAAAAATGAAAAACATGTTTTAGGTTTAAATGTTTAACAACCTATAGCAACGTTTTTGTTATTTGGAGTTATTAAATACTTTTTTATTAGTATCACAGCATATTATGCACATCTGCAAGCATAGCAGCAAAGGCTGAACTAATATAATGTATTATTATTTTTAATAATGTTAATGGTATATACAGCATCCCATGTACATAAGTGGATATTCTAAAGGGCCATATTTTTTCAAATAAAACAATGGCCAGTTTGGGTCGCAGTTCTAGGCAAGTTTTTTTGTAAAAACTAACATAATTGTCTGTCTGTCTCTGTCTGTCTGTCTCTGTCTGTCTGTCTGTCTGTCTGTCTGTCTTTTTTCAATATGTGTTTGACACCCCTGCAGAAATGGAAGTGTTTCAAGGATGGGTCCAAAATGGCCCCTCTTTTTTCCTATATATAGTGCACTACTTTGGGCCCAAGTCAAAAGTAGTGCACTATGTAGGGATTAGGGTGCCATTTGGGACTCAGCCCAGGTCTCCTACCAAAGCGAAGCAGATTAATAATGCATTCAATTACCAAGACACCATCTGCCTGGGTCCATGGCGACACTGTGCTCTGGTGCAGGAAAGCACTGTACCGTTCCCTGGTGGTCTGTCTTTCCTTATCTAGGTATTTTTGTGAACAACGTCAGGTCCTATTCAGTCAACTGGTAACTGGGTCTTCAAGATTTTTGCAAAACAAACTATTTTTTGTGTGGATTTTTCCATTAAGCTTTATAGGCTAACATGTAGTTGAACTTTTATTTTTGTTTCGCCCCATAGCCTAAACACTGTTTGGTTAAATTTAATTTTGCACCAGCCAGTATGCTAAGTCCAGTGGAGGCTGGTAGGAAGAGCTATAGGAGGACGAGCTCATTGTAATGGCTGGAATGGAATATATGGAAACCACATGTTTAACTCCACTCCATTAATTCCATTCAAGCCATTACAATGAGCCTGTCCTCCTATAGCTCCTCCCACCAGCCTCCACTGAAGTCCAGTATGACCTGGTGGTGGTGTAACAATGCAGTGGGGGAAAACACAATAAAGCATCATGAGAGTGACAGGGCACACAGTGTTCTCTCCAGTGAGAGTATTATTTGGATTAGGCCTAGATGTGAACAAAGTGGTCTGTCATTCTACATCCTTCCATTTCAGTTACCTAGAATCATATTGTCAGGACGAGTGGATCCTAACCTAACGTTGCAGAATCAACTAGCCTATTCTAGAACAGCCAGTCGTTGGACAGTGTTTCATTTGGCTTGATTCAACTCTGTCATCAATGCCTCCAGTTTTCGCCCTGCCTCCTGTACGTTGCAGAGAGCAGACTGACTGACATAAGCAGCTTAGCAGTGTTGATGGGGGATACGTGACTCTGTGTGAAAACTCTGCGTTCTCAGGAAGACTGACTGGGCTGCTGCCTGGGCCTTTTGCCTGCCTGCTTCCCTCATTATTCTCATCACCTTTGTAATCATGCAGATGCTGTGCTTTGCCAGTGTGGCCAAGACTGTGCTAAGACCATCATTACTTTTCCCGGTGCCTCCTTTTAGAGGGAGGGAGTAAAACAAGAAAGGAGAAGAAAAATACTTTCTCATATTATTGACCTAAGATGTGTCTGTTGAACTTTAATGCTGACAGCTAGGCTAACTGGTATGACACATTTGAGAAGTTGTCAAACATCATCATCATCAGTCTTAAGTTTACTATGTTTCACCATTTCCCTTCCACTGCCTCGCTTTCCAGAAAGCTCCAGCTAGTCATGTTATTTCAAATGCAAAGTCCCTCCCAACAGTGGTCTGTTCCTGTGAATATCATTACAGGTTTTTGTCATGTGTTTCTTTGTTTCCTTGTTCCTCAGGGCGGCAGTAGGAGAAACAGACCATGTCTCAGGACAAGAACAGCTACCCTGGGGTTATGGGGGAGAACAACCCCCTCCACAACAACATCTACGGACCGCCCCAGCCCGGGTTCGGGATAGCCCCTCCCAACTACACCCCGGCCCCAGTGCAAGCTCCATACCCCGGCCAGCCTGCAGCCTATGGCCAGCCTACACCATACGATCAGCCTGCACCCTATGGTCAGCCTGCACCCTATGGTCAGCCCGGGTTTCCTCAGGGAGGCCTCGGGTTTGGACAGGGACCCTACCCTCAGATGCCCTATCCCCAGGGCCCCTACCCCACAGGGCCCTACCAGCAACCTGCACAGCCAGGGTTCCCTGGTGACCCCAACAGTGAGTAGAAAGTAGTGGACATATAGCTGTGCTTGAGACATTTCACATGATTATGTTTGGAAGAGAAGTCATATGGTGTCATGGTGAATCTAGGAAGAGGTTGCTCTCTAGACACTGTTCCTGGTTCTTCTAGGTTTACCTCCATTCTATGCTTTAATGGCTATAAGAGTGTAAAACTGTCTCTAGACCTGGGCTAACATGCACATTATCCCTACACTTAAATGTTTTGTAACTCTCAAGCCCATATCATACATCATTAGTCCAAGTGGGCCAAAAGCAATGTGCTCAGGGACAGTTAAATTAATTATGTTACCAGTCTTCACTCCTGCTTATGTCAGTTTTCCATTTCAAAGGCAGGTTTGGAAATTCTTTCTATTTAAGGTCACTGGTTGGTTTTCCACTTAGATGGATGTATTATTGCCCTGAGAAACTGCTGCCTGTGTCTTTCACTGTCCATCATTAACCTAGTGTGCTGAAGAAGCACACAGTTCATCCTCCTGAGGTTAAACTGTCTCACTTTCTGACTGACTGACTCACTGACTGATCAATAACTATATAGAACTCACCCTTTCAATGACCCGTGTCAAAACGACACATACAATAGTCTCACAATTGACAAGCATTTGATTGGCAATAGTCTCACCCCTGTAGTGATTAAACCCGTAGTTACAATTTGGTCCTTGTTGTTGTTGTCTGGGGTTTTCAGCTTCCATTGGTGACGGTTACCATGGGGATGTGCCGCCATCTTACTACGACAACGAGGAGTTCACCAACTCTGGCTTTGAGGACAAGAGCATCCGACAGGCGTTCATCAGAAAGGTGAGGGAGGAGAGGGGACGGGACTGCATGAATGAGAACAGAATAACGTGCTGTCAGTTGAGTGAATGGAGGAGATTGAAACCAAATCATTCTATCAGCTGCTAGTTATTCAGATGTAAATGAGCTGTTAGCTAACTCTGGTGCAAAAATAAATAAACTCTGGTGCAACGCATCACTTCTCACTTTTGAGATGTACTGTATGTTTTGGTTGTACACTGTCCCTGTCCAAATACACTTAATTAATAAAACAATGATCTGCTATTCTTTTCACGTTTTTGACTATTATTCAAAATAAATACATTCCTGCACAAATCTAGCCAGCAATGTTTCACCTTTTAATGTCAATAGCCAATGTTGACTGACCCTTTGTCATAGTTATTGAGAACCTTTCTTGAGACAGTCCTGTAACATCTGTCTGTCCAACCTTCTCCCCCTCCTCCCAGGTGTTCCTGGTGCTGACCGTTCAGCTGATGGTCACCACCGCCTTCGTGGCGGTCTTCACCTTTGTGGACGACGCCAAGTTGTTTGTGCGGCGTAACCCCTGGACATACTACGTGTCCTACGCAATCTTCTTCGTGTCTCTCATCACCCTCAGCTGCTGTGGAGAGTTCCGGCGCAAACACCCCTGGAACCTGGTGGCATTGGTACAGCCCCACCATGACTTTGGCTGCATCCAACATGGCACCCTATTCCCTATGTAGTGTTCTACTTCAAAAGTAGTGCACTATGTAGGGAATAGGGTGCCAGTAGTGCACTATGTAGGGAATAGGGTGTCAGTAGTGCACTATGTAGGGAATAGGGTGCCATTTGGGACGCATACCGTGTCTTTTAACCTCTAAATAGATGCTTTGTCTTTTGCATCAACCCTATATATCTGTTAATAATGTTTCGGTTTGGGACAATGTTGCTGGAATTGGGTAGATATTGATATTAGACTAGAGCTACAAATATAAGAGAGATATTGTCAAGATAGATATTGTCACGTTTTATAAAACCGTAAGAAATCAACGAAGCACAGATTAGATCGATTAAAGGTGCACTATGCAGAAATCGCTCCACCATTTCCTGGTTGTTAAAATTCTAATAGTACGCCTAATTTCAGTTTCTATATGGAAAAAACAAACAAGGAAGTGTAGTGTAGAGAATCATTGTACCATCTGAACCGCTGTGACATATATTTTCCATAACCCCAAATATTGTATTTTCAGCGGTTTGAAGCTGGTGTACAAAACTGAAAGTAAAAGACGCAAAAACGAAACTTATAAAAGGGGAAGCATAGAATAGCGCATATAGAACAGATCTACTGCTTCTTAGACTTGCTTTCAAAGAGAATTACACATCTGTAACTCACATTTGTATGTGAATTTTGTTGGGTCGCCCAAAAAGTTACGTATTGTAGCTTTAAATACAGTTGATGACCTGATTTTGTCTATATGTTAGTTCTATAACATTCTGAGAGGGATGTGTTGTGGTTGTAATCCTGACGTTGTCTGTCCTCAGTCCATCCTGACCCTGAGTCTGTCCTACATGGTGGGGATGATCGCCAGCTTCTACGACACGGAGACCGTCATCATGGCCGTGGGCATCACCGCTGTGGTCTGCTTCACTGTGGTCCTCTTCTCACTACAGGTCTGTAGTACACACATGCACACAGGCATGAACAAACACACTCCATCCTTACTCCCACCTTGCTGTCAGTGTCACACTTACTGTTTTGCAAACCATGATATTATGGAGTATTTTTCTGCCTCCATGGCCTTTGTTTCAGTTTCACTATTACTATCGCATACTGTCACTATCGCATACTGTCACTATCGCATACTATTACCATCACATACTATGGCATAGCCTTGCGAATTGAGGAACGTGCAGGGACTTTAACCTCAACTCCCTCTTGGGACAATAACAATCCTTGACAATCCCACATTTCCCTGTTTTCTCCCCTAATCTAGAGCAAGTATGACTTCACTTCCTGTCGGGGCGTTCTGTTCGTGTGTCTGATCGTCCTGCTGCTCTTCTCCATCCTCTGCATCTTCATCCGCCACAGGATCCTCCACATCGTCTACGCCTCCCTGGGAGCCCTGCTCTTCACCTGCGTAAGTAGAGGAACTCGCCTGCATTTTAATGATGGATTGCATTTACATTGCACTTTTCAAAGTGCCCAAAAGGTCTTCATGTTTTAAGGGGGGCACTCGCCTCATCCACCGCCATTGTGTCACCTGTGAAAGTGTACTAAGTAAACGTGGCGTGGTTGACTATCAGGGCAAATTTATGTATAAAAGGTCTGTTGTTTACTAGGGATGTCTGTCATTATAATCAATGTTATGGTGCATATGGGATGGTTGCTAAATTACAGGGTTGTGGCAGGGCTATACCAAGGATGTATATCAAACCTGGCTTCAACACAGCACCACCTATCAGTCATCTAGTGTGTATATATGTAGTTGGGCTATACCCATTGCGTGTTAGTGAGGATGGAGGGAGGGGACAGCGTGTTAGTGAGGATGGAGGGAGAGGACAGCGTGTTAGTGAGGATGGAGGGAGAGGACAGCGTGTTAGTGAGGATGGAGTGAGAGGACAGCGTTTTAGTGAGGATGGAGGGAGAGGACAGCGTTTTAGTGAGGATGGAGGGAGGGGACAGCGTGTTAGTGAGGATGGAGGGAGGGGACAGCGTGTTAGTGAGGATGGAGGGAGAGGACAGCGTGTTAGTGAGGATGGAGGGAGAGGACAGCGTGTTAGTGAGGATGGAGGGAGAGGACAGCGTGTTAGTGAGGATGGAGGGAGAGGACAGCGTGTTAGTGAGGATGGAGGGAGAGGACAGCGTGTTAGTGAGGATGGAGGGAGAGGACAGTGTGTTAGTGAGGATGGAGGGAGAGGACAGCGTGTTAGTGAGGATGGAGGAAGAGGACAGTGTGTTATTGAGGATGGAGGGAGAGGACAGTGTGTTGGTGAGGATGGAGGGAGAGGACAGCGTGTTGGTGAGGATGGAGGGAGAGGACAGCGTGTTAGTGAGGATGGAGGGAGAGGACAGCGTTTTAGTGAGGATGGAGGGAGGAGACAGCGTGTTAGTGAGGATGGAGGGAGGAGACAGCGTGTTAGTGAGGATGGAGGGAGGGGACAGCGTGTTAGTGAGGATGGAGGGAGGGGACAGCGTGTTAGTGAGGATGGAGGGAGGGGACAGCGTGTTAGTGAGGATGGAGGGAGAGGACAGCGTGTTAGTGAGGATGGAGGGAGAGGACAGCGTGTTAGTGAGGATGGAGGGAGAGGAAAGCGTGTTAGTGAGGATGGAGGGAGAGGACAGTGTGTTAGTGAGGATGGAGGGAGGGGACAGCGTGTTAGTGAGGATGGAGGGAGAGGACAGCGTGTTAGTGAGGATGGAGGGAGGGGACAGCGTGTTAGTGAGGATGGAGGGAGGGGACAGCGTGTTAGTGAGGATGGAGGGAGAGGACAGCGTGTTAGTGAGGATGGAGGGAGGGGTCAGCGTGTTAGTGAGGATGGAGGGAGGGGACAGCATGTTAGTGAGTATGGAGGGAGAGGACAGCGTGTTAGTGAGGATGGAGTGGGAGGACAGCGTGTTAGTGAGGATGGAGGGAGGGGACAGCGTGTTAGTGAGGATGGAGAGAGAGGACAGCGTGTTAGTGAGGATGGAGGGAGAGGACAGCGTGTTAGTGAGGATGGAGGGAGAGGGCAGTTTGAATTCCAATGGTTGGTTGTGGGATATGGTAGAGACGTGAAGGAGAGAGGATGAAGAAAGACCATTTTACAGATGAGAACATTATTTCTATTTTATTCAGCATAGTCTATGATGATTTCAGGCTAATGCAGTATGGCAGAACATCACTGGTAACTTTTGTGGTTATAAGAATATGAAGCATTAAAAAACCAGCATAACCTGAAAATCCATGTGATGTACCTACTTAGGTCTGTATGCAAAGCGTTACAATTCTGCCCTACATGATTGCCTGATTGAATGTTTTTGTTGTTTTTTTGTTGTCTCTCTTGCCATAATAATTCCTGACTCCATGTTCTGTGTGGTTGTAGTTCTTGGCTGTGGACACCCAGCTCCTCCTGGGCAACAAGAAGCTGGCTCTGAGTCCAGAGGAGTACATCTTCGCCGCTCTCAACCTCTACACAGACATCATCAACATCTTCCTCTACATCCTGGCTCTCGTGGGCCGTTCCCGTGAGTGATGTAGCGGCGCCCTCTAGGGGAAAGGGAGAGGAAGGCAGCCAGGAGGACTGAATGATGCTCTTTTCCCCTCGCTGTCTTTTTGTATGATTTGTTCCACTTTTTGAGGTTCCCTCTCCCATTTGTATGTTAAACCTCCCCGCCTTCACCCCACCCCCTTCAGGAGATGAATTGGGTGACAGAAAAAGGGGTTCTGTCACCTATAGCAGCAGGCCTGTCATAGAGCGCAGCAAAGAACACTTATGAAGTTATTTATTTAAAATTCTATTTAAGTATGTTATTGTAAGTTATTCTGATATTATTATTTTATTTTTTTCTACATTCCTTGTTTGTTTTTACGCATTCTGCTTGCTCTGTCCTCCTTGGCAATCTGCTTCTACTTACAGAGAGATTGTAGCTAACTAGTATATCACTTCTGAACAACATTAGCTGAACAAACACTATAGAACTCTCCTGTCCTCTGCGATTTTGGCGCTCTTCCTTGCCTTGTAGATGAAGCACTGTAGAGAGATTGAGAGGCAAGAAAGTTTTATGGTATCTGATAGAGAGAGCAGCGCTGTGATGCAGGCCAGCGCTTTTTAAGGAGGAAACGTAGAAACTAGAAACAACACCTTTCCTGCTATATTCTCCCACTTTGGTCTTCCCTTGTTTTCCTGCCAATGTAAAGTAACTCTGCATGGCACCTGAAACACAGCTGAGATGAGCTGAATAGATTCATAAAAACCCTTCAGAGGGATACCTCTCCTAGCCTGCTTGTTACGTAGCTGTACATAGATCTGTGTGAACTGGATATGACGCTTAGTTCCCTAACCAGCTCTCTCTAGGCATGCCTGGGGAGTGTATGGCTGATGACATCACTACGCATCGCTAACCAGTACAAAGACCAAAACTCGAATAAGATGTGAATGGCAGAGCACCCAGCTATTAAAGCGAGGTGGCGCACCTCTTACCCACTCGTTTGTGTTGTTAACATGGATGTTCAACACTAATACACATGAGTATATGTGTAATTGAGATGCTTTTGTAGAAGCTAAGTGTGGAATGTCCCATTGGCTTCTTTTGGATAAATGTTTTCCCTCTTATTTTTCGCGTATCCTTACTAATTCCTCGTTTGTCTCTTTGCCTTCATGTATAGTAAATAGTATATTGTTGTTTTTTTCTCTCCATTATTGCTAATGTGAAATGTTTAGGTATTGGAATTTCGGAACACTTTTATACAGAGCTGTTACAAGAATATCACTAGTTGCTTGTGAATTTTTTTTTCTTTTTTTTTTACTGACATGTAGTAGAACACAGAGATTGAAGGATATAAGTTATTAATTATATATTTATTGAAGTTGCTGTAGAAGGCAGGGCTGCTGTGAAGTTGAAAGTGAACGAGCAGGAAAACTCGACACTTTCCTGTCATTCTGAATGATGCATGGTGAAAGGGCCTCCTAGGAGAGGGAAGATTATTATTGACAGTCTGCATCCCAAATAGCACCCTATTCCCTAACATAGTGCACTTCTTTTGACCTCTGGGCCCTGGTCAAATGTAGTGCACTATATAGGGAATATGGTGCCTTTTGGGACGAAGAGGGGCATATAGTCTGAGGTTTCCTGCTCAAACATGAAGGATTAGTGTCAATACTTGACTCTTGACGGTAGAACAAGGAGAGGCTGGATGCACAGAATTAAGGACTAGTCACTAGAGAAAAAAATCTTAGTTTTAACACTCCACTACTACCAATGCTGACCAAGCCATTGATATGTTGTCCATTTGAAACTAGACACTAAGTTACATCCACTAATATGAATACCATTTTGAAAACCACATCAAAGTCTTGAATCTCTCAGATCAAGTTATGATTTGACTCCTGTTGCACGATCCTTCCCCATTGTTGCATGTACTGTGATTGCACACTGGGCAGTGTTCTAGCTGTTTCTTTGAATCATGTTGAACAAAGAATAATCATAACGATAGAAGTTACATTGTTGTGCTGCCTACAGCCCTGTTTTGTTAAACCATTTTGATTGAATTATTGTGTTTGAATCTAACTAAATGTGTATACACTGAGTGTACAAATCATTAGGAACAGCCTCAATTCTACAAGGTGTCGAAAGCGTTCCACAGGGATGCTGGCCCATGTTGACGCTAATGCTTCCCACAGTTGTGTCAAGTTGGCTGCATGTGCTTTGGGTGGTGGACCATTTCTTGAATCACATGGGAAACTATTGAGCGTGAAAAACCCAGCAGCGTTGCAGTTCTTGACACACTCAAACCGGTGCGCCTGGCAGCTACTACCATGCCCCGTTCAAAGGCACTTCAATCTTTTGTCTTGCCCATTCACCCTCTGAATGGCACACATACACAATCCATGTCTCAATTGTCTCAAGGCTTAAAAATCCTTATTTAACCTGTCTCCTTCCCTTCATCTTCATCTACACTGATTGAAGTGGATTTAACAGGTGACATCAATAAGGGATCATAGCTTTCACCTGGATTCACCTGGTCACTGTCATGGAAATAGCAGGTGTTCCTAATGTTTTGTACACTCAGTGTATTATATAACTCCTTAGTGGTTTGATGTGTATAGAGTAATTTGGGCTTTGTATTTCTGTTTGCACTGTAAATTTGCATTAAAATGAACTGGAGTTGCATTCCTCTACACTGCTCTTCACTTTTCATTAAAAGAGATACAACAGAAAAAAATATTGTGTGTGGTTTGAACCACTGATTGATGCTAAGGCTATAATAGCACTTCTTGTATTAAAAGCTGTTTATTGTGGAAGGGGCATGTGAATGAAATTTTATTGTGTTGAAAATGTCTTTGGTGTCATAAACAAACAATCCTTGGTTACTTCCTGTGCTTGGTAAAGATATGAGGGGGGGCCATCATGACGACCTCCTTAGGACCATCTGGCAGAACTCCCAGAATATGTTCTATAAGTTAAGATAGGAGACAGAGCCAGTCACATGTAGGAACCAATCAATCATGTTTATGTAGGTTTTAATGTAGCCGTAAATAAGGCATTATGTAAGGAACGCACTTTTAGAGCTCCCTTCAGACCGGTACTTTATACATCTAAGTTTGACTGTGACCTCTCCAGCTTGCTGACAATAAAGAGTGATTCATTTAATATTGACTTCGAGTGTCCCTGTGTTGAATTTCCACGACAGGCAAATTAATAGACATGGGGCATGAGACTATAATTATACTATACAGTCATGATTGATAGGCTATACATTACAAACTTCTCTGAGACCAATAATGGCAACCTAAACATGAAGAAGAAGAATCCTAATGGTTGGCACAAGCCACTCCTCCCCCCACCACCTGACTACCCCCTGAGGGGCCTAAGGCTGCGTCCCAAATGGCACCTATTCACTTTATTGTGCACTACTTTTGACCAGGGCACATAGGGCTCTGGGAAATGTACTGCACTATATAGGGAATAGGGTAACATTTGGGACGCATTCAGAGTTGTTTCTGATGTCACAGACCAGTACCCTGCCCTGAACTTTAGTCACTGTCACTAGCCGGCTACCACCCGGTTACTCTGTTGCCCTACAGTGAGGGAAAAAATAATTTGATCCCCTGCTGATTTTGTACGTTTGCCCACTGACAAAGAAATGATCAGTCTATAATTTTAATGGTAGGTTTATTTGAACAGTGAGAGACAGAATAACGCATGTCAAAAATGTTATAAATTGATTTGCATTTTAATGAGGGAAATAAGTACCTTCTTAAAAGTTAATTTGTGGAATTTCTTTCCTTCTTAATGCGTTTGAGCCAATCAGTTGTGTTGTGACAAGGAAGCAGGGGTATACAGAAGATAGCCCTATTTGGTAAAAGACCAAGTCCATATTATGGCAAGAACAGCTCAAATAAGCAAAGAGAAAAGACAGTCCAACTTTACTTTAAGACATGGTCAGTCAATCTGGAAAATTGCTTTGAAACTTTGAAAGTTTCTTAAAGCGCAGTCACAAAAACCATCATGCGCTATGATGAAACTGGCTCTCATGAGGACCGCCACAGGAATGGAAAACCCGGAGTTACCCCTGATGCAGAGGATAAGTTCATTAGAGTTACCAGCCTCAGAAATTACAGCCCAAATAAATGCTTCACAGAGTTCAAGTAACAGACACATCTCAACATCAACTGTTCAGAGGGGACAGTGTGAATCAGAACTTCATGGTTGAATTGCTGCAAAGAAACCACTACTAAAGGACACCAATAATAAGAAGAGATCTGCTTGGACCAAGAAACACGAGCAATGGACATTAGACCGGTGGAAATTTGTCCTTTGGTCTGGAGTCCAAATTGGTCTGGAGTCCAAATTGGTTAAAACCGCTGTGTCTTTGTGAGACGCGTGTGGGTGAACAGATGATCTCCGCATGTGTAGTTCACACCGTAAAGCATGGAGGAGGTGTTATGGTGTGGGGGTGCTTTGCTGGTGACACTGTCTGTGATTTATTTAGAATTCAAGGCACACTTAACCAGCATGGCTACCACAGCATTCTGCAGCGATACGCCATCCCATCTGGTTTGGGCTTAGTGGGACTATCATTTGTTTTTCAACAGGACAATAACCCAATACACCTCCAGGCTGTGTAAGGGCTATTTTACCAAGAAGGAGAGTGATGGAGTGCTGCATCAGATGACCTGGCCTCCACAATCACCCAACCTCAACCCAATTAAGATGGTTTGGGATGAGTCGGACGGCAGAGTGAAGGAAAAGCAGCCAACAAGTGCTCAGCATATGTGGGAACTCCTTCAAGACTGTTGGAAAAGCATTCCAGGTGAAACTGGTTGAGAGAATGCCAAGAGTGTGCAAAGCTGTCATCAAGGCAAAGGGTGGCTATTTGAAGAATCTCAAATATAAAATATATTTTGATTTGTTTAACACTTTTTTGGTTACTACATGATTCCATATGTGTTATTTCATAGTTTTGATGTCTTCACTATTATTCTACAATGTAAAAAAAATAGTACAAATAAAGAAAACCCCTTGAATGAGTAGGTGTGTCTAAACTTTGGACTGGTAGTGTATAGACCAGGTGGCTGGTCTCAGACGATCCCGCAGGTGAAGAAGCCGGATGTGGAGGTCCTGAGCTGGGGTGGTTACACGTGGTCTGCGGTTGTGTGGCCGGTTGGACGTACTGCCAAATTCTCTAAAACGACGTTGTAGGCGGCTTATGGTAGTGCAATTAACATTAAGTTCTCTGGCAACAGCTCTGGTGGACATTCCTGTAGTAAGCATGCCAATTGCACGCTCCCTCAAAACTTGAGACATCTGTGGCATTGTGTTGTGTGACAAAACTGCACATTTTAGAGTGGCCTTTTATTGTCCCCTGCACAAGTTGCACCTGTGTAATGACCATGTTGTTTAATCAGCTTCTTGATATGCCACACCTGTCAGGTGGATGGAATATCTTGGCAAAGGAGAAATGCTCACTAACAGGGATGTAAAAAAAAAATGTGTGCACAAAATTTGAGGGGAATAAGCTATTTGTGTGTATGGAACATTTCTGGGATTTTTTATTTCAGCTCATTAAACATGGCACCAAAACTTTACATGTTGCGTTTATATTTTTGTTTGGACTCCGACATTGCTCGTCCTAATATTTCCATATTTCTTAATTCCATTATTTTACTTAATTTAACCCTAACCTTAAATTAAGACCAAAAAGCACATTTTGGTGTTCATTCATTTTTTCAATATAGCCAATTTTGACTTTGTGGCTGTGCTATCTAGTGGACACCTCTCCTTGTTTTTGATCATTTAAATTAAGTGCTTAATGAGCCATTGGATGCTGCTGAGTCATTGCTTGCCACATTTTAACCGAGACACCACAAGGAAATATGTAGTTCTCTAAGGAGGTCAAATGGAGTCATCCTCTGTTATCTGTCATCAAGATTTATGTTTTATAGCTAATGAGAGCAAACTACATGCAGCATGCATACATTGTTATCTCCCTTCAGGTTTTGGTTCCGTTGCCCGTCTGTTATGTTCACTTGACAGTGGTAAGATGTTGTCTCACTACACAGGGGGGTAGCAAAAACACATAAGCCAACATGAAACAGCAGCCACATTCAGAAATTATTTATATGTACATTACTTTTAATAATATTACTTGCTATTGAATGAGCACATTCACGTGGTACAAAAATTGGTGATCACACCACATTTAACTCCCTGAGGACATATTTAGCAAAACTGCAACTACGGAGAATAATTGTGAATAGAGAACGCTGTAAGACATGTCAGCTCACAGCTCTTAAGGGCTATGAGCCCTTTCTGTTTTTGGGGAGCTCAGTAGAATAGAATCCCTAGGGCTCTAGAATGTTATCAGACAACAAGAATTACTTAGTTACCACGACAACCTATTGTTGTTAATTTACTGTCTTCCATCTTCCACTGTAGGAGGCAGAAGGTTTAGGGATTTGGTTACAGAACATCATGTATTTTTGACTAATACATGCATAACAACGAGTGTGAGTATATTGCATGATACACTTTGATACTTTAATTTGACTCTTTATACTAAAATGACGCTGTAATGCAACTTTCGATTATAGACATTATGCTTTTCTCTCATGTGACCCTCTCTATTTTGTCTGTTAGCACCATGACTATCGGGATTTTTGGCACGTGGGACCATCAGTTCAATGCCACTGAGCAAGCACTCACAGACAAGATGAAGAACAACCCTTGCTATCCATTCACTATAGTGAAGGACAGTAAGAGATCTATCGTTAACTTCTCTCATTTATAGTTAACTGTTCTTTTATAGCCATCTCAAATGATTTGGTTTCAGTTGTTTTGTTTTCAAATGGTCCTTTAGTTGGTTTGCCGGTTGATGGTGATATGATTTGTTGCAGTGTTTGTTCTTGAATACCTGCATGAAAACATCTGGAAAGGTTCACTGCTACTGATCGCCTCCACCATTGGAACAGCCTGCTACATGAACATGGAGTTTGGGGTGTGTGAGTGCTCCCATGAGGAATAGACACACAACCTGAAATTTCCTGACATCCTGCTAATTCTCTCTTTTATATACCAATTGAAAAGGGAAAATTGTAAACACATCTCACATGTTTAGTTTTCCTTTTGTGAGCAGGTATAAACCTCATACCATTAACTGTAGTCCTAGCCCTTTCTTCAGTCGTTCTCCCTTCGACTGACCTTACCATAACCTTTAAGCTTTACCTCTTCCTGGTTCAGGACCATCACAAGTATACTGGGTTCCTGGTGTTCAGCCTGTGTCTCTCTCTGTGGCTGGTCTGTTCCGGGGCCTTCCGCCGGCGCCTGGTGATCGATCACAAGAAGAAGGAGTACCGCTACTACATTCACACACACCTACGTCACAGGGGCCCCTTGCACCAGATCTACATACGCATGATAGCACAGAAGAGTGGTGAGGTCCTAGTACTGTTACTCCTTTTCTGTCGGTGGGGAATTGTGATCCTTCATTCATATCAGTCATGGGCTATTGGTGCTGAGATAAGGGATGGATGAATAGATGTCCAGCAAACAGACTGGTTTAAGTCTCAAGGCACTGCAGGCTAATGTTCATGACCTAATTTCAGGACAGGGACTGCTGATGTACAAGCTGATGCTAAATGGATACAAGATTGAAGAGAGGGAGCTCAGTGGCTTCTCAGAGAAATATGAGGTATCATTGCTGAGTAAAATGACTATTGCCATTAGATGAGGGTTCTGGGCCCGTATCCACAAAGCGTAGGAGTGCTGATCTAGGATCAGGTCCCAATCTGTCCATATAATCTTATTCATTATGATTTATAGGGCTAAACTGATCCTAGATCAACATTTTACATTTTAGTCATTTAGCAGACGCTCTTATCCAGAGCGACTTACAGTTAGTGAATACCTTTCCCCGTGGGAATCGAACCCACAACCCTGGCGTTGCAACGCCATGCTCTATCAACTGAGCTACATCCCTGCCGGCCATTCCCTCCCCTACCCTGGGCCAATTGTGCGCCGCCCATGAGTCTCCCGGTCGCGGCCGGCTGCGACAGAGCCTCGATTTGAACCAGGATCTCTAGTGGCACAGTTAGCACTGCGATGCAGTGCCTTAGACCACTGCGCCACTCAGGAGGCAACCCTCCTACTCTGAGACGCTTTGTGGATATGGGCCCTGGCCTGCTTCTCATCAAGCAATCATATATTTTAATAAACATCTGACCATAATGTAGTACGTGGTCGATAACACTGCCCATTCCTTCCCTGACTCATCCACTTATATTACAGCAAAAATTTATTTTTATTTCACAGCTGTTGGAGTGCCAGGGCAGGAGGATAGCGACGAAACTCAACCTCAATTACTTTGACTACCAAGACACTTCGAAACGCCACCTTGTCTTCCACAGGCCCAAAATCATCCTGTCTGCCAACAATGATTGCAACAATCCACCTGTTTGAGGATGAGGAAGTTCCTCTGTGATCAATCACGTGGTGCTGTCAGTGTCCCTGCTATGTTGCCTTTACCCTATCCATATTCCATAAACAGCCCAAATTCAAAGATGAAATATTGTGTTTCCAAATGTCTCTGCATGTATTTTTCATGAGTTTTCAAATATCTCTTGAAATCATTGAATTGGTCTTTGACACCCAAGTTTATCAAATCATGTTGCCATCCCCAATATTATGCTTCAACTGTGACTGATCTTTCCACATTGCAACATAATACAGTCAGAATCTAACAACAACACAGTTCTTGAGAATGTAAGAATGAAACACTAACAGTGTTTTACTAGCCAGATCCCGCCTTCCTTCTAGAATGAGCCAATGAAAATACAGAAACAGGCGTGCACGTAAATTAACAGGGCTAGTGTGTATATCAAGGTTACCGTGTTCGTAATTTTCTAGCCAAATGGGCTACTTTGAAAACGATGTCGCGGGTGAAAATGTATTGGTCGCGGGTGGCGGCTTTTTGGGGTACTTCTAAATTGCACCGCGGCCGCAATGGCATGTATCTTTAAAAAATATATATACAGTATATTTCACTGTGACCTGCTGCTGCTGACTATCAGGCAGTGTGCAGTCTGTTACTGAGTGAGTGAGGGAGTGGCGGGGAAGGGGAGGGCCGGGGGGGTGTGTGTGTGTGTGTGTGTGTGTGTGTGTGTGTGTGTGTGTGTGTGTGTGTGTGTGTGTGTGTGTGTGTGTGTGTGTGTGTGTGTGTGTGTGTGTGTGTGTGTGTGTGTGTGTGTGTGTGTGTGTGTGTGTGTGTGTGTGTGTGTGTGTGTGTGTGTGTGTGTGTGTGTGTGTGTGTGTGTGTGTGTGTGTGTGTGTGTGTGTGTGTGTGTGTGTGTGTGTGTGTGTGGGTTGAGAGCACTGGTTGAGATAGTGCTGCTGCAGAGGCAGCTGACTCACGCAGACAGAGCAGAACGCGCACACGTCGTGACAACTTTTTACCAGTTGTAGGTAGGCTATTATGGAGACATCCTTTTTCTGTAAAACATATTAACGCGTTAGAACTGATACAACGGCAACAAAGCATTGGAAAACGACTTTATCTGCATTGCTTGCTGTTTGGGGTTTTAGGCTGGATTCCTGTATAGCACTTTGTGACATCTGCTGATGTAAAAAAGGGCTTTATAAATACATTTGATTGATTGATTGAGATACATTCTAAATTGCATTCTAATGTCGACTTTTCTTATGGATAACCGTATCAAGCTAAGGGTTTTACTCATGCTCAGTTCTAGGGGTCTGGAGTGCTGTGAGATTGGACGTTTGAAATGGAAGTTATGGAACTCCCTCGCGTGCTTCTGTTATGGGAAAAAGTCCATAATGAAAATGACATTAAATGTGGAGAATGATAGGGTACATTTGCATATGTTGGCCATCAAGTACGCTATTAATGTATCATTCTCCACATTTAATGTCAGTTTCATTGTGGACTTTTCCCTGAAATGAGATGTTGGCATATCAGGGGCTATAGGCTACCTGCATCTAGCTCAGCAAACCATGGCAAAGTTGAATTGCAATTATAAACCCAGATTTTTGTCAGTAGCCTATGCCTATTGAAATAAAAAGTCAATCTCGCAAATAGGCCATTGATAACGGTTTGTAGTCTTAACATCTGGCACATAATAATGGCACAATTGCCAGAAAATAGACTAATATTAGTTTTTTGAAGTTCATCCAAGTGTTTCTTGCACAGAGATTTCGAGATCCTCTGTCCAACTTTCATCACTCAAACCATCCTGTCGGATTTATCTATAGTTATGCACATGTGCAAACAGGATTTATTTAAGCAATAAGGCCCGAGGGGTGTGGTATATGGCCAATATACTATGGCTAAGGGCTGTTCTAATGCACAACGCAACGCAGAGTGCTAAGTACACAGCCCTTAGCCTTGGTATATTGGCTATATATCACAAACCCCAAGGTGCCTTTGAGCCCTGAATGTTGATTGGTTGAAAGCCATGGTATATCAGACTTTGAGCCCTGAATGCTGAATGCTGATTGGTTGAAAGCCATTGTATATCAGACCGTGTACCACAGAACGACAAAAAAATAATTTGTACTGTTCTAATTACGTTGGTAACCAGTTTATAATAGCAATAAGGCACCTCGGGGGTTTGTGGTAGAGTGCATTCGGAAAGTATTCAGACCCCTTCCCTTTTTCCACATTTTGTTACGTTACAGCCTTATTCTAAAATGGATTAAATAATTATTTTCCTCATCAATCTACACACAATAACCCATAATGTCAAAGTTAAAAAAGGTTTTTAGAAATGTTTGCAAATGTATTAAAAATAAAAAACAGAAATACCTTATTTACATAAGTATTCAGACCCTTTGCGATGAGACTCGAAATTGAGCTCAGGTGCATCCTGTTTCCATTGATCATCCTTGAGATGTTTCTACAACTTGATTGGAATCCACCTGTGGTAAATTCAATTGATTGGACATGATTTGGAAAGGCACACGCCTGTCTATGTAAGTTCCCACAGTTGACAGTGCATGGCAGAGCAAAAACCAAGCCATGAGGTCAAAGAAATTGTCCGTAGAGCTCCGAGACAGCATTGTGTTGAGGCACAGATTTGGGGAAGGGTGCCAAAAAAAATTCTGCAGCATTGAAGGTCCCCAAGAACATAGTGGCCTCCATCATTCTTAAATGGAAGAAGTTTGGAACCACCAAGACTCTTCCTAGAGCTGGCCGCGCAGCTAAACTGAGCAATCGGGGAACCCGATGGTCACTCTGACAGAGCTCCAGAGTTCCTCTATGGAGATGGGAGAACCTTCCAGAAGGACAACCATCTTTGCAGCACTCCACCAATCAGGCCTTTATGGTAGAGTGGCCAGACGTAAGCCACTCCTCAGTAAAAGGCACATGACAGCCCGCTTGGAGTTTGTCAAAAGCCACCTAAAGGACTCTCAGACCATGAGAAACCAGATTCTCTGGTCTGATGAAACAACGTGTGCTTAGGACAACGGCCCTAAGCACACAGCCAAGACAACGCAGGAGTGGCTTCGGGACAAGTCTCTGAATGTCTTTGAGTGGCCCAGCCAGAGCCTGGACTTGAACCCGATCTAACATTCCTGGAGAGATCTGAAAATCGCTGTGGAGTGACGCTCCCCATCCAACCTGACAGAGCTTGAGAGGATCTGCAGAGAAGAATGGGAGAAACTCCCCAAATGCAGGTGTGCCAAGCTTGTAGCGTCATACCCAAGAAGACTTGTAATCGCTGCCAAAGGTGCTTCAACAAAGTACTGAGTAAAGCGTCTGAAGGCTTATGGAAATGTGATATTTCCGTTTTTTTTTTTTTTTAAATTTTCTAAAATGTCTAAAAACCTGTTTTTGCTTTGTAATTATGGGGTATTGTGTGTAGATTGATGAAGGGGAAAAAAACGATTTAATTCATTTTAGAATAAGGCTGTAATGTAACAAAATGTGGAAAAAGTCAACTGGTCTGAATACTTTCCGAATGCACTGTATATGGCCAATATACCATGGCTAAGGGCTATGTGCTAAGAACAGCCCTTAGCCATGGTATATTGGCCATATACCACACCTCCTCGGGCATTATTGCTTAATCATAGCAGTCAAAACAAATTAAATCAACAGTGATCGATGGAAAATGATCTGGAGATTTATCTTTTCTCTTGCGACATTCTTAAACTCGCAAGAATTATTATTTTGATGGAAAACATAATTTTGCTTCATAGCCTAGGTTGTTAAAAATGACTTCGATATTCCTTCTTAATTTGCTTGATAACATTATGGGAGAAGGGTTTATTGGATAAATGTGGCAACACTTCTCTTGCTGCGAAAAAAGTTGCCATGCCTTGTGGGATGGTTTTCAGAGGTCGTTAGTAAATAAAGTTTAGCTAGACCACATTTTACCTAGACCTGGCAACCCTGGTGTATATGTTAGATACCTCTCGCTCTGAACAGCGACAACTGACCCCGCGTCCGTCTGTAGACACAGGGCGGCAGCTTTTGCACAACACAGCCAGCTAGGTAGATTGCTAACGTTAGCTGTATGATCTAGCTAGCATCCAATATCTGGTATTAAACGATTTTCTCATTATTTGACATTATCGTTGACATGTCGGCCTTTTCAGAGGCAGCTTTGGAGAAGAAACTATCGGAGCTTAGCAATTCCCAACAAAGTGTCCAGACTCTGTCACTGTGGCTTATACATCATAGAAAACACTCGAAGACCATCGTCAACGTTTGGTTCAACGAATTGAAAAAAGGTAATGTTAGCTAGCTAAAATATATTAATCAATATTAACATGTATCTCCAAGTTTTGTTCAGTTAGCTATGAATGATTAACGTACACAATCTAAGTGTAGCTAACTAGCTAATGTTAGATAACATTTTATGTTTGTTTACTTGCAAAGGTTACTGTGTAGCTAGCCAGCGCTTTCATTAGACCACATCCCAACCAACTAATGTTAGCTACTAGCTAGCTATGTCATTAACTTTTCTCTAATCTAAATGAAGTCAGTTTGTTAGTAAAGTATTGAACCGCCAGTAACTGTAGCTAGATGGCTTTGTGGCTAAACTTTTTTGCTAATCGTGTAGTTATTAATGCTTGCTATTTAACTTCACTTTAGTTTGTTAGCTAGCTAGCTCTCTCCTCTCCCAACAGTGCCAGGGTGGGGTAGTCATCGTCACACGGTGGAGGCATGTCCACAATCAAGCGTAGATGTTAACAATCCCCCTGTTAAGGTCTTGCTTGTATGGTTAACTAGACTGACACGAGGCCCCATTCAGGCCACTCAGCTGCAACCTAGCTACGTTACCTCACAAGTCTAGTCCTTCTAAAGTTTACATTTAGTTGGATGCCTAGCTAATTTGTATCTCAATAAAGTTACGTCATTGGAGTGATTGCTCAGATAGTGAATGAGATTGCAATAGCTACTAGTTAGTCATTTGAGTCCTAAAACCAGGCAATCTTGTTACAGCTAAAGAGCCCCTCGCATTGGGACCATACTTCACTGTCAGACATTTCCTACTAAATTGTTCCATTTAAAAGCAGGGTAAGGTAGCTAACCCACATGTGACCAAGGGTCAGCATTGCTGCCCATCAACGTTTACACATGTAGTTAGGTTATATGTGCTGCATGCACCTGCTCAAAAAGTGCCTATCCACGAACTTCTCTGCATCACTGCACATGAGGGATGGGCTATATTTGTGAAATGTTGTCTGCAAAATAGGGTGACAGACCGACATTAGCCTACCTATTTGACTCATCTAGGCCTACATTCCCTGCTTTGCCAATAAAAGTTCACAATAAAATGAAGACCTAGAAACACAAATATGACCTTTGTATCTAAGGATTTCTCAGACTACACTGCCACAAGGTCTCAATGTGTGAATACCTTTGGGAACCTGTTATGACTGCCAAATTCACTTATAGAAAGGTGCAGGGTGGCTTTCAAGTTTTTGTTGTTGATTGGGTTCAGGTCATTTGTGGTGTTTTGCCATGTGAAATTGGTGATCAGTTCACAGATGTTGAGTGTTTCATTTCAAACATAATGCTTAAAATGTACTAGGGAAGAAGACAATCTGCATTGGCATAAATCTTACCTAGTAAAATCAATTTACCTGGTCAAATAAGGTTTTTAAAACCCCATCTGTTGTGGATGACATTAACCTATCTTATCTAGCCTACTGCATAGATATAAATGTATGAGGTCTGAGCTTGTGTGCTAGCTAGTTGGTTAGGAGTGGTATTTTGATGCACGCTCTCGGTTTTCCTTTGGGTAACAGAGCCTAATGATATCCCAGTTGGACCTCTGTATTTTGGGAGCTGCTGACTCTTTTCTGTGGACTGGGAATAGCATTGGATGTCTTCTCATTTCTCTGCCTCAGAGGGTTCTCTGTAGCCGACTCGTGGTTAGAGTTGTGGTCTCATTTTCTAGGTTTCTTATTTCCTGTTTCTTTGTCATCACTGTGCTTGGTGTTTGATGCTCACTAACCACAAATCACAAAAAGGGCTGTCTCTGGCTTCAAGTCCTTATGAACAGCTATGAAGTCTGATTTTGTGCTGTGTACAGTCAGTGATTGTCTAAATCTCCAATGCCGACAATTCACAGTTCAGTGTCGGTAGATCAAAGCTGTGAGCCATTGCAAAGGATGCATCTAGGCCCTCTTTCTAGACTCTTGCACATTAATGGAGCTGGGGTTTAAATTAGATAAGTGGTGTGCAGTTCCTAAAATGTCCTCTTTTTCATAAGGGCTCCTTGTCACCATGGTGAGTGAGTGAGTGTGTGTGTGTGTGTGTGTGTACAGGGCAGTGGCTTGGGGAGATGGGCCCAGTCGTGTCACTTGGGGCTGATTTGCTCTCTCAATACATGAACCAGGAAGAGGCATGTCCAGCTTTGCGTTTATTTTCTTAGCCTTGGAGCAAGAATAACCCCCATCCTCCTGGAGACAGATCTTCCTCATACCATAGAGCTATATAACACCACCTGTTTATCAACTGCATTATAATGTGTGGGCTATGTAGATTAGGCTATATTATGCAGCGTCATACTTTTCTGCTCTTATAGTCAGCCAGTGTTGGCGTGTTAAGGCCTAAGTGAGCTCTAAGTTAATTTTGTGTAGTCTGTCTGAGTGTCAAGAAAGGTATCCTGAGGTGAAGCTCAGCAGATGTATTTGTTGACACTTGCCTGTGTTGCTAGGCTTTGTGTAGTTTAACTCTGCTCTGAATCAGTTTCCCACAGTTGACTGATCTCTGTCTGCAGCCAAGGTATCCAGGAAGCTCACCTTCCTCTACCTCGCCAACGACGTCATCCAGAACAGCAAGAAGAAAGGACCCGAGTTCACCCAGGACTTTGCTCCTGTCATTGTTGATGCCTTCAAACATGTGTCCAGGTGAGGGGTGAGATGCACAGTCAAATCTGTCTCCCACTGTTTTCCCTACAGTAGTAATTGGGGCATGAGCCTGTTGATGGTAATTAGATGTGTGTGTACGTGCAGGGAAGGAGAGGACGGCTGTAAGAAACAGCTGGGCCGGGTTCTGTCCATCTGGCAGGAGAGAGCTGTGTATGAAAACAACCTGCTGGACCAGCTCTCACGCGTCCTGCGTAAGTACCCTCCTAACCAAGACACCTCTGGTTTGTTTCACCCCTCTAAGTGGCTTCCTCGTCTGAAAACATGGTGCTTTCTCTCCATGTCCTCCATCTACTCTGATCTGAAAACATGGTGCTTTCTCTCCATGTCCTCCATCTACTCTGATCTGAAAACACGGTGCTTTCTCTCCATGTCCTCCATCTACTCTGATCTGAAAACACGGCGCTTTCTCTCCATGTCCTCCATCTACTCTGATCTGAAAACATGGTGCTTTCTCTCCATGTCCTCCATCTACTCTGATCTGAAAACATGGTCCTTTCTCTCCATCTACTCTGATCTGAAAACAGTCCTTTCTCTCCATGTCCTCCGATCTGAAAACATAGTGCTTTCTCTCCATCTACTCTGATCTGAAAACATAGGATGCTTGAAAGGAGGTATTGACATTCCCTAGTCATTACTTCACATAAGTGAGTGTCAATAAAGGATGTGAAATAGTATTGTGCCATCTTCTTTCCATCTCTCTCTGTTCCCATGATCGCTCACCCTGTATATATGTTCCACAGTGGGAGAGAAGAAGGCCAAGAAGAGGCCGTATGAGGAGATTCAACTGGAAGACCTGGACTTGGCCTCCCAAAGCTCTCCCGCAGAGCCCCCACAGGTACAGGCCAACCCAACACCTCACAGGGGGGTGTAATAGCTAGATTAATTTTACCAAACAGGTTATTTTTCGTTGCATTTACCTCTTAGTATCCCACCTAACTGAATAGTTCTTGTATCCACATGGCTTTGTTAAGACATTGCTTTGTTAGTTCTTTGTTTTAGAGGTTTGGTCTACTTTCTGACTGCAATGTGGGACTCTCCTCCTTTATCCCCCCGTCGCTGTAATTTCTTCCTTCTCCTTTTCCTCTCCATTTTCCTGTCCTGCCTTTTCTTCACACCGTGCTCCCCGTCTCTCCTCTCCCCATCTTCCCTCTTTTTCTACCTCTCCTCTACCTGCCCCTTCCTTCCTCGGCAGACGGCAGAGTTAATCCGGGCCCTGCAGGAGCTGGAGAATGCAGCCTCTGGGGACTCGGCACTGCGCCAGCGAATCTCCTCCTTGCCTGCTGAGGTGCAGGACACATCTCTGCTGCACAGGATCACGGGTAGGCCCTGGCACACACCTCTATCCCACACTCCCATTAGCTACAGTCAGCCATGCTCCAGATCATTTTCATTTCATTTTACCTTTATTTAACTAGGCAAGTCAGTTAAGAACAAATTCTTATTTCCGATGACGGCCTACACCGGCCAAACCCGGACAACGCTGGGCCAATTGTGCGCCGCCCTATGGGACTCCCAATCACGGCCGGTTGTGATACAGCCTGGAATCGAACCAGGGGGTCTGTAGTGACGCCTCAAACACTGAGATGCAGTGCCTTAGACCTCTGCGCCACTCGGGAGAATGCTGTTGTTGGAAGGGGTGGGGGGGTACAGGGTGCTGACCCCTGCAGTTGACCCAGCTGTGTGTAGCCTAGTTTCTGGAAGTGAACGGACCGTGTTAGTGCTGTCCTCTGGAAAAACAACAACCGAGATACCATGCTACATAGAAACACTACTTACAGTCAGTTAAACAGTGAAACAAACCCTACATCGGGTTTATTGTCACATACACAGGATAGGTGCAGTGTAATGTGTTAAACATATTGGGCTCTATTTTAACAAACCTAACGCGATGGTTAATCTAAGTGCAGGCGGTAGCGCTATAGGTTCAGGGGTGTGTCAGAAATATTTTTGCTATTTTCACTTACAATTATCTGTACACTTACTGGCGTTGGCACAAAAGGGCTGGATTTTGATGAATAAACACGTTGTGGGTGTGTCGAGGCTTGGCCCCTCACTGGCCAATCAGAATGTGCTCCATTGCTAAATATGTGGTTGCTTCAAGTTGTGTATTTACGGTCTTTTATATATTGCCTTGGAATCAACTCCAATTCCAATGTTAGTCCGTTATAGTTTGCTAAATGGCTTACAGAAACGAAATAACATAATGTAGACCTATCTTGGCAAAATAGTTAACTTGAAGCCATTTGCAGTCCACATTGTTCTAAGTAATTGCATGGCTTCAATAGCATTCACACTTGTATAGGGGCTAGGCCTACTGTAAATTGCATTATGGCTGAGCATGGACATGCCAAACATTGTAAAAAAAGCAAGATTAAATTCATTATTGATAAGGCCTAAAAAGAGAACAAATAATTATAATCAAGTTCTAAACAAAACAACTTGTTTTAAATAGGCTATGTCACTCTTACAGGCACCATCATTTCTCCCCGTGGGCATATATTATTGAAACAACGCACATCCAAACTTTTTCACAGTAGCTGGACAAAGATCCAATATAAATAGAAAGGGAGAATGTCCTCTCACCGTTCTACTGCTCCCAAATAGACCTATGTTTTATGAACATCATTGGAACCATCTTACAGATCAGATCACATTCTCACATCTCCAGAAGTTGCATGCGCGCCATGGACGTTGTAACCATAAAACCTGGTGAATCGTTCTAATAAGATTGTAATAAAAGTTTACCAAAAAATACAAGCAATCAGTAAAAAATGTTTTACAACAACAGTGAAAATGTAAAATGTAATGATATCATAAAATCTCTAGGATAAAAAAGACAGGCATTGCTGTTGAACCAGCCTTCGTTATAGGAGGCCTAAGGGAGGGCTTGCTGTTGAACCAGCCTTCGTTATAGGAGGCCTAAGGGAGGGCTTGCTGTTGAACCAGCCTTCGTTATAGGAGGCCTAAGGGAGGGCTTGGGTTTTGAACATATGAAACGGAAAACAAGCCATTGTTGCAGGTTACAGATAACTTCTAAATACAAGGTTCACCGGTATTCACAGAGGTTCTCGTTTCATGATGGCATGGACACATAGCCTGGAGGGGGGTTTTACGCACTTCCAAAACGGGACCTGCATGGCTAAAATAATGTGGGCCTGCCTACAATGCATAGATAAAAAGGGAGTGTCAGATCACTGTTTTACTCCTCTCAAATGTTATATTTGAATAAAGCTTTGGTGATTTAAGATGTATTTCCAAGCGGTCTCAGGAGCCAAACCCTTTATCAACAGTCTTGACCACTTCGTGATTGCATTGGGCAGGACAAAAAAAAGCCTTCATTGTGAGAAGGGGAGGCTATGCTTGGTTAAATAAAGTGAAATGGGGGGGGGGGGGGGAAACATAAAGGCACCAAAATCACATTAAGCTACTCTTGTTCCATGCGTATATGGGCAGTGTGCATCATAGCTGGATAGGCTGCGTTTCCGCTGTCAAAATTAATGCCATAACCAACTGCATTACCGCTAAAACCAGCTTTTGGTTGGCCTTAAATATCCCTATCAGCGCTGCCTGAAAATAGCACTTTGGATCATCTTTTTAAGGACACACCTCAAATATTTCCACCCCTCCCATCTGAGCACAAGCGAGCTGATATAAGACAGGTAAATTGCTGAACCTGGCGTTAGGGAAGGAAAATGCCAGTTTTTACATAACGAAATGGCAAAATAATGTGCGTTTTAACACTAGCGCCGCCTTAACGCCAGCCGAAAATAGAGCCCATTGTATATTAGTTGGCCCTACAATTAGCAAATCTCTCAATCACATGATACAGTGACGGAAAAAAGTATTTGATCCCCTGCTGATTTTGTACGTTTGCCCACTGACAAAGAAATGATCAGTCTATAATTTTAATGGTAGGTTTATTTGAACAGTGAGAGACAGAATAACAACAACAAAATCCAGAAAAACGCATGTCAAAAATTTTATAAATTGATTTGCATTTTAATGAGGGAAATAAGTATTTGACCCCTCTGCAAAACATGACTTAGTACTTGGTGGCAAAACCCTTGTTGGCAATCACAGAGGTCAGACGTTTCTTGTAGTTGGCCACCAGGTTTGCACACATCTCAGGAGGGATTTTGTTCCACCCCTCTTTGCAGATCTTCTCCAAGTCATTAAGGTTTCGAGGCTGACGTTTGGCAACTCGAACCTTCAGCTCCCTTCACAGATTGTCTATGGAATTAAGGTCTGGAGACTGGCTAGGCCACTCCAGGACCTTAATGTGCCTCTTCTTGAGCCACTCCTTTGTTGCCTTGGCCGTGTGTTTTGGGTCATTGTCATGCTGGAATACCCATCCACGACCCATTTTCAATGACCTGGCTGAGGGAAGGAGGTTCTCACCCAAGATTTGACGGTACATGGCCCCGTCCATCGTCCCTTTGATGCGGTGAAGTTGTCCTGTCCCCTTAGCAGAAAAACACCCCCAAAGCATAATGTTTCCACCTCCATGTTTGACGGTGGGGATGGTGTTCTTGGGGTCATAGGCAGCATTCCTCCTCCTCCAAACACGGCGAGTTGAGTTGATGCCAAAGAGCTCGATTTTGGTCTCATCTGACCACAACACTTTCACCCAGTTCTCCTCTGAATCATTCAGATGTTCATTGGCAAACTTCAGACGGCCCTGTATATGTGCTTTCTTGAGCAGGGGGACCTTGTGGGCGCTGCAGGATTTCAGTCCTTCACGGCGTAGTGTGTTACCAATTGTTTTCTTGGTGACTATGGTCCCAGCTGCCTTGATCAATGACAATATCCTCCTGTGTAGTTCTGGGCTGATTGCTCACCGTTCTCATGATCATTGCAACTCCACGAGGTGAGATCTTGCATGGAGCCCCAGGCCGAGGGAGATTGACAGTTATTTTGTGTTTCTTCCATTTGCGAATAATCGCAACAACTGTTGTCACCCTCTCACGAAGCTGCTTGGCGATGGTCTTGTAGCCCATTCCAGCCTTGTGTAGGTCTACAATCTTGTCCCTGACATCCTTGGAGAGCTCTTTGGTCTTGGCCATGGTGGAGAGTTTGGAATCTGATTGATTGATTGCTTCTGTGGACAGGTGTCTTTTATACAGGTAACAAGCTGAGATTAGGAGCACTCCCTTTAAGAGTGTGCTCCTAATCTCAGCTCGTTACCTGTATAAAAGACACCTGGGAGCCAGAAACCTTTCTGATTGAGATGGGGTCAAATACTTATTTCCCTCATTAAAATGCAAATCGATTTATAACATTTTTGACATGCGTTTTTCTGGATTTTTTTGTTGTAATTCTGTCTCTCACTGTTCAAATAAACCTACCATTAAAGTTATAGACTGATCATTTATTTGTCAGTGGGCAAACGTACAAAATCAGCAGGGGATCAAATACTTTTTTCCCTCACTGTAAGTCCCACCTCTGTCAGCCACAACTGACGAAGGGCTGTTATGTTGGGGATGTAATTTACCCAACAATGCTCATTGGACACACACCCACAAGTATGTCTTACTATACTTGATTTTCCCTAACCCATAAACCTTACCCTAACCGTAATCCCTAAACCTAATTCTAACCTTAACCCCTAAGCCTAAAATATCATTTTTACAAGTGAGGACCAGCAAAATGTCATCACTTCTGAATTTTAGTTGGTTTGCTATTTTTGTGAGGCCTTCTGGTACTCACAAGTATAGTAAAACGTGTATATACACAAACACACACATCAGTGCTTGATATCATTTGTCATCATTGAACTCTGTGTTGTTGTTTTTATCGCACTGCTTTGCTTTATCTTGGCCAGGTCGCAGTTGTAAATGAGAACTTGTTCTCAACTGGCTTACCTGGTTAAATAAAGGTGAAATAAAAAAAAATGTGCCCCAATGAACCATTTTAAGTTAAAGCATTCTCTCCCCCTCCTCTGTGTGTCTCAGATAAAGAGCAGGGTGAGCGCCTGTCCAGGCTGGTGGAGGAGGCGTGCATGCTGTTGGCGGACTTCAGCGGCCGTTTGGCGGCGGAGATCGACGACCGGCGGCAGCTCACGCGCACGCTCACCCTGTTTCTACACAGCCAGAGGGACGGCCTGGCCCAGAACGAGCAGAAACTACAAGTGTGTAAATAGCACCTTCCTTTTTTCACTACACATCCTTTTCTGTCATCCTCCGTCTTCATTGTGTCTATCCGTCTGTCTCGCATGTTGTTTCATTCACTCTTTGTGTGTTTCTGTTTCTGTAGCATGTATTTTCCTCTTGTGTCCTGTATCATTTCACCCTTTCAAGTGGTATGTTTTGCATCTCACCATTTCCCCCATGGTTAGTACAGGCCCGAAGGCTTTAGCAAAGATGACATCTCACTCCATTGCTTGCAAAATGACTACACACTTTCCATTGGTTTCTAATACACTGTGGAGAAAATAAACTGTTTTGTAATTGCTGAATGCTTAACTGTCCAGCCTTTACCCACAGGAACTGAGCAAGATCAAGTCTTCTGGTCTATGTATCTGCAGTGTATCTGCAGTTCAACAAATCTCTCTTGTAATAAAGAAAAATAAAAGAGAAAATAAAACTGAATCTGTGAGTGCTGTTATTTGATGCTACTTGTGTTTGTACTGGTGGGGGTTGCATTGCATTACTCCAGTCCAATTTATTGACTTTACTTTTGAGTGTCATTATATTAAATACATTTTCATTAAACACTATTTTATTAAGCATAAAAACAATCAAACTTCACCTGTTATTTTATTACATAAGATATTTTTTCTATAACTAAAACACATTTTAAAAACCCAGTTTTGATTCATAAACGGATACTTCATGACTTCAACAAAATAACACAAAACTAGAGCAGAAAAATTGAATGCTATTAAAATTTGTACTCTGTAACAGTAGCCTCAAATGTACAATATGAGTAAAATGTCTTATGCCTCTTACAATAATTTGGAAACTCAATGCACACAGTTAAGAGTTATTACAGACAGGCCCATGTGACATTTGTCCATTTATTTGAAATGAAGTGCATTCAGAGATGGCTAGTGTTATAAACTGAACCTAACATTAAAAAGAATATTATTCTTACTCATACTGCGGTAGTTAAAATGCCATTGAAGGTATTTTCAGCAAGTGTAAGTTATATTCATAGTTTGACTGCAAATATTATTTTTGTTTCTTCTCAATTTGAATTGTCAAGCCCCTGAACCAGAGGTGGGCAGCTCTGGTCCTGGAGGGCTGCATTATGTGCAGGCTTTTGTTTCCGCCCAGCAATAACACACCAAATCGTCCCTAGTAATAAGTCTTCCCTAATCATTTAGACCACAATTAGTTTAATCAGGTGTGTTAGTTGGGCTGGAATAAAAAGCTGAACTCTGCAGCTCCCCAGGACTAGAGTTGTCCACCCCCTGTTCTAAACACATGTCTTCTAGTGACAGGGCTATTAGCGTTTGGCTATTTTCTGGCTTACCTTGTGTTCTGGGTTCAGAGTGGTTTTACTCTCCCACATTGAGGATAGAGGTCGATTACATTACTGGGTAAATACTAGCGTAGGGGAGTCCGACATTTCAGTTAAGGGGTTGTTTGTCAAACTGGGCCTTGGTTACAGGCCTTAGCATATCCTTGACTTGCCTATAAGGTTGAATTTCTCCTATACTGTACTATTGATTAGGCTTTTAGCCTTTTTGAATAGTTAGATTAGTCATACTGCCCTAAAAATAGGAGCTAAGGAAACACCTCTGTTTTTCTCTGTAGCAAATAAATGAATAGATCGAACACTAGTATTTCTGTCACTTGAAATGTAATGAAATGATTTCATAGCTCACAACTTTAATGACAGAATGGTTATAGTAAAGGTCTTTCAAAAATATTTACCTTGCCATCCCTCTGATTCTGATGTGAGGATGATGGTTTTCATGAAAAATAAGCAAAATACCAACACACACACCAATAATATAAAACTACTCACAACTCACTTTTTCATTAAACATTTTATTTTAGCCACTTATAAAAGTAAATCGGGCTCCACAATGAAACAGAAATTATTGAATGTCATCAGTTTACTATGATGTGCCCAAGTTCCTTTGTAAATCCACCCTTTCCTAACCATTGTGCTACAAGGTTCACAACTAGCTACAAGGTTTACAGTGAACTCCAAGATGAAGATGTCTAACAATTGAACAGCATATCCAACTCCAAATATAATGTTGTACAAAAAAAGTGTCACATTATTCTTCACACCTATTCTTGTTGTTTCAGGAGTACAAGCGCAAGCTGGCGCGGGTGACCCAGGTACGGAAGGATCTACGTTCTCATCTCAGCAACCTACCAGACCTTTCTGTGCTCCCCAGTGTGACCGGCGGACATTTGCACCTGCCCTCATTGGGCGTCGAGCTTTATGACCCCACAGCCTGACAGCTCACCTGTGCTTCCCATCCCTGACCGACCACCCACCCTCTGATTGACACATCTCTCGCCCTATCATTTAACATGTGGACATCACTTCACTTAGTGGACATCGAAGTCACTTAGTAACCTTTGATTGACGCATCTCCCAACCTATCATTGGCCATATGCTTCTTGCCATTGCGCTACTGTTTGACGTAGGTTCTCTCATCCAATCTTTCCCCATGTAGTCATGTTTATCAAATACCTCTCTTACCCATCATCATGTAACCCTCCCTTTGGTACAGTATATCTCCCTTCTATTCTCTTCACAATAGATCACTCTGATTGGTATAGTATATATAATTTGCGTCCACATCTAATGCTATTTAATGAAGGGTATGACCCATGTTTTCCATACCTAATGCACTCTCTTTCTTCCCCTCTGTTCTTCCTCTGAATACATATACTGGTTTGGTGATTCCCCCTTGGCTTTCACTGACAGTCTTTCCATGCAGAGGAGGCTGGTGGGCGGAGCTATAGGAGGACAGGCTCATTGTAATGGCTGGAATGGAATAAATGGAACGGAGTCACACGTGGTTTCCATGTGTTTGATACTGTTCCATTAATTCCATTCCAGTCATTACAATGAGCCGTCCTCCTATAGCTCATCCCACCAGCCTCCTCTGTTCCCATGATATTCCTCTTCTGTTTCCCCTATCCACCTAACCCCAACCTCTTCAAAATGGTCAGGAAGATATTGTTGTGATATTATTTTTGTATTTATAGTGAATTTAGATAGCACCAGAAATTGTATAATGCAGTAGTCCTAATGAATACATCCCCTCAGTGTGGTATAATTATAATCAGCTGCAGTATTTTGATAATGAACAATTATCATCTTTCTGCGTTCTTTTATAACTGCTATAAGTCGTATTCCCATTATGTGGACACAGCTCACTAGGTCTTAGATCTTGCTCTCGGGGGCTTCACTAATAGCAGGGATTGTTACTGTTCAAGTTCTATATTAATGGCCTTAAAATAATTAAGCCTGTTCAGAAAAGTTATTTTGTCCAGATTTAATTGTGAAATCTTCTTGAAAATGAAATGGACAAGTTGGAAAATGTAAAAGTAACAAGTTTGAATATGTTTTTTTGAGAAAGCGCTTAAGAAAACAAAAACATGCATTGTTCATTGTAAACATTGTTCTTAAAGCAGTAACCAGTTTCTTTCTTAGTTTTAGCACATAGACAAAGTTGCATGTAAATACTAGGAACTAATTGGTTTTATCTGTCAGTCTTGTATCGTCATTATGGGCTTGCCAAGACACACTCTTAGAAACAAAGGTTCTGGATAGAACCAAAAAGTGTTCTATGCTTGCTTCATATATGGCACCCCTTAAGGTTCTATATAGAACTGAAATTGGTCCCAAGGGTTCTATATGTAACCCATTTTGGTTCAGTGAAGAACCCCTGGGGTTCTGATCCGAGAACCCTACAAAAGGGCTCTATATAGAACCAAAATGGGTTACATATAGAACCATTGGGACCAATTTCGATTCTATATAGAACCTTAAGGGGTGCCATATATGAAGCAAGCATAGAACACTTTTTGGTTCTATCCAGAACCTTTTTTTCTAAGAGTGCATGGTAGTCATTCCAATAAATGCCTGTGTCTCATTGCAGACGCATCTCTATAGAAGTTTGATGTCTCCATAATAGTTTAAGCCTTTCCCATATTGGAACAAGTGAGTGGAGACATCAGTGTTGTGTGCTCTTTTACTGTATTACCTACTGCCCCCTGGTTTGAACCTCTACTGAAGGTTGTTCAGCCACCTATGACAGCTATGCTCTTTGAAGAACTTGAGGGGGCACACTGTTTGCTAAACTACACCTTATAACTTATGTCACTGATTTGTAAGTGTTCATTGAAACACAGATTGTTGTAATGCGTTGTTCTCAGAACCAAATAAACAGCCAAACATATGAGAATTTATCAAGACTTGTTGTTATTTTGTCTGCATCAATCCAGCATTTTGGGGTGCTTATTATTTGTAGTTTTATAATGTGTATGTGGTACACATTAATAAAGAACTTATAGTGACAAATCATGCCCTCTAGAAATACTGTGCTTTTGACTTGGTACTGGTACTACCTGTATATACCCATGTTTATGTTTTACTCCTTATTGTTATTCACTGTGTATTTATTCCTCGTGGTCACCATTTCTATTTTGTCTTTAACTCTGTATTGTTGGGAAAAGGACCCTTAAATATTTCACTGTTAGTCTACACCTGTTGTTTACGAAGGATGTGACAAATACAATTTGATTTCAATGTCACATCGTAAAGCACTATGACCACCAGTCCAGCAGGTGGCGGTATAGCATTTGGAACAGAAACATAGGGAGGAAGTTGGTCAACCAGTAAAAACAGGAAGTAGATTTATCCTTGCCCAAGATTAGCCTACCGTTATCCCATTTAGTCGAGTGGTTGATTTTTTTGGTCAATAGGATGTTGGTCGACTGAGATTTCTTTAGTTGAGCAGTAGCAAATAGATACATTTATTTATGGGCACAAGACACCCGTCCGATTCGCGCCTGTCTCAGTGGACTAATCCACTGCTGAGGCCACTGATCCCCATTACTCTCAGACATGCTACTAAAATTGTATATGGTTATACTATGTAAGAACAATGGTGCAACACTAATAAAAAGCGCTTTTTCCTGTGTTGGATAGTGGTCGTATCTGCAGTTCTAAAACATAATCTTCAGAGCACAGTTGAACTGGCGTCTTTTCCTAGACAATGTTGTTATGTGCATAATAGCAAAGTTAACCAGCATATTAGTGTTGAGAACAATGCAGTAGAGGCAGCAGCGGAGTAAGGAGACGAGAAAACAGCCCTTGCCTTAATTGTCTAAGAAAAGTGTGGCACACATAATATACAGGCAGTGCTTGCTCCTATAGCCTCCTTTTTCTTGATCTCCAGTAGCTTCCACAACTAAGTCAAATGTCTTCCACACATCGGACTTCCCCTTTCTCTCCTGAGCAACCGGTAAACATTCCCCCGTTTCGAGTTTCTTTTTCACGTCCTCCACATCAATGATGCTGTCATGTGTTACGGTGTTGGAGTTTGTTATAACCAATTTATTGATGTGATTATGATATGCTGTAGGTCATGCCCCATTGGTCATGTGCATGCGATGCATACATGTGTCACTTAAAGAGAGCAAGGGTTGAGGGAATAGGGAATGTTTTTCCTAAACAAATTAGGGATTTTGGTAAGATAACTTTTCAGTCAGAGAAAAAACAAGTAAGAAAGTACATTTACATTTACGTCATTTAGCAGACGCTCTTATCCAGAGCGACTTACAGGAGCAATTAGGGTTAAGTGCCTTGCTTAAGGGCACATCGACAGATTTTTCACCTAGTCGGCTCAGGGATTAGAACCAGCGACCTTTCGGTTACTGGCACAACGCTCTTACCCACTAAGCTACCTGCCGCCCCAAGAAATGCCTGTAATGTTGTAGCTTCATTACCACGGACAGCGTGACAAATACTGTTGCTGTGCTATGGTCCCTGGTCGCTGCAGCAGGGAGGAGTGAGAGACAACGTGTGCCAGTCACACAGGCACTCACTGTCAAAGCAGCCAACAAGTGCTCAGCATATGTGGGAACTCCTTGGAAAAGCATTCCAGGTGGAGCTGGTTGAGAGAATGCCAAGAGTGTGCAAAGCTGTCATCAAGGCAAAGGGTGGCTACTTTGAAGAATCTCAAATATATATATCTTTGGATTTGTTTACCACTTTTCTCTGATTACTTATGTAAATGTAATATTTAAGTTTGTATGTTTTTCTAAATTTGCAAAAATGTCTCATTCAAGGGTTTTTCTTTATTTTGTACTATTTCCTACATTGTAGAATAATAGTGAAGACATCAAAACTATGAAATAACACATATGGAATCATGTAGTAACCAAAAAAGTGTTAAACAAATCAAAATATATTTTATATTTGAGATTCTTCAAATAGCCCCCCTTTGCCTTAATGACAGCTTTGCACACTCTTGGCATTCTCTCAACCAGCTTCATGAGGTAGTCACCTGGAATGCATTTCAATTAACAGGTGTGCCTTCTTAAAAGTTAATTTGTGGAATTTCTATCTCTAATTCAACCTAAGCTTGAATCATTACCAGGGGTTGTAAGGCTCTGGTTTTAATCATAAATGATTCAAGGTCCACAACCAGCAAGAATGATCTGTATTTTTATTCATGGAGAGCTCTTGATAGATTAATTTGTATTTTAAGAATAATGACTAAAGGATTTCACCCCAAATACAGTATACATGTGTAAACGGTGTTAGAATTATAATGTAGTGTCAACCCACTAACAGAGGGGGGCGGGACTAAACATTCCAGGGTGAAGGAGAAGGCGGAAACTGTTTAAGAAAGCCTCCTAAAGGTGGGCGGAGCAAAGTGCCTTTGTGTGTCAATGGGTATAAAACAGTATGTATGGGTTTTGGGCGCCAGAGCTCTCCATGAATAAAAATACAGATCATTCTTGCTGGTTGTGGACCTTGAATCATTTATGATTAAAACCAGAGCCTTACAACCCCTGGTAATGATTAAAGCTTAGGTTGAATTAGAGATATAAATTCTCGTGACAAGTGGTCCTTCGAGCGGAGCTTAAAATACGTCTTTGTCGTTCTAAGGACACCGAAACTGTGCACGGGGGGGTGATTGCATCCGTGGAGAATAGTCCTGGCCTTCGACGTTAAGGTTATAAACAGGCCGGTGATTAATCTTATGAACGATAAAGACGTTAACGAGTTTGAAAAAGCATTTAAATCCAAACTGCAAGGAAAAGGTCAGTAATTTTTATTCATGGATTTTGGTGTAATTATTTGAACTCTTGTGAAGGGCAGAGAATAGTTACCAAAATCTCAAAGGAAATAATAATTATTATAATGGAAGGAAGGGGGGTCTGGAATTGACCCTAGGTAAATAGCTATTACCAAAATAATCTAGTTAATATTGAGATTGTACGAGATACAGTCTTTACAATATAAACAGGAAGGGAGATAATTATCATTGTGTAAGATAGATAAGTCAAAAGTCGCATAGGCAACTGGGGATTTGCTCTAACTCTGTCTATTTCATGAAACTGGAGCAGTTACGACCTCTAGGTTACGGATAGTGTTAGAAATAAATCGTAAAATGTTGTGTACGTGTGAGACTTAATGATCCATCGAAATACGTGATAATTGTTTCAAGGAGGGACGAAATAGATCGCGTGAGAAAAAATGGTTATCTGACCCCTTTTATGAAACCGGACTTTTAAAAAAACCTCTGGGTTACGGGTTAGATAATTTAAATGGTTAATTACAAAAGCAGATCATAACATTGGCTCAAGAGACGCACTTAATAATAACTCCTAGGAAAATAATTCTGGATTGAATTATTACTAAACGGGGGGATTTCTTATTTTTCCACCATGGGAAATAAATATTCTAAAGAGGTCCGAGAATTCACGGGGGATAAAAGATATATGTTAGGAAGAGATCGAAGAAATATGTTTTATGGATCCATTTGG